AGTTGTGATGTCTCTATTTTCATTTTTAATTGAGCTAATTTGAATCTTCTCTCCTCTTTTCTTGATTAATCTAGCTAGCCATCTAACAATTTTGCTAATCTTTTTAAAGAACCAACTTTTTGTTTCATTGATCCTTTGTATTTTTTTTATTTCAATTTTATTTAGTTTTGCTCTGATCTTTGTTATTTCTTTCCTTCTGCTAGCTTTGGGTTAGGTTTGTCATGCTGAGGTGTGATGCTAGATTGTTAATATGTGTTATTTCAGTTTTATAAATGTAGGCCTTCAGGGTTATAAATTTTACTCTGAACACAGCTTTGGCTGTGTCTCAGTAGTTTCATTGTTGCCATTCAGTTGAACAAATTTTTAAATTTCCATCTTGATTTCATTCTTGACCCAAGGATCATTCAATAACCAATTGTTTAACTTCTTCTTTTATTTTTTTTTTCAAGTTCTTCTTGGAGTTAATTTCTGGTTTTATTCACTGTGATCTAAAAAGGTAAGGTGCTTGATATGATTTTGATTTTTTTGCAGTTGTTGAAACTTGATTTGTGGCCTATCATATGGTCTATCTTGGAGAATGGTCCATGTGTTGATGAGAAGAATGTTTATTCTGTAGTTTAGGGATAGAATGTTCTGTAGATGTCTGTTAGTTCCCATACCTCTATGGTTTGGTTTAACTCCAATGATTCTTTGTTGACGTTCTTCCTTGATGATCTATCTATTGCTATTAGCAGAGTGTTGAAGTTTCCCACTACTATTGTCTCTTTTTTATAGGTCTAGTAGAATTTGTTTCATAAAGCTGGAGGTTCTGTTGTTAGTCATATATATACACAGGGTACCAAAAATTATATATACATTTTAAGAAAGGAAAAACTGTATCAAACTTGTAATACTCACTAAGACAAATACCAGTCACATCTGACTTCTGCAATCACAAGAGGTGCTCAAAGTGGTTACTATCAGTGTTCAGACATTTCTGATTATGATGGATATCTCTTACAATGTGTATACATTTTTTTGGCACCCCTAGTATTTAAAATTGTTACATCTTCTTGTTGAATTGATCTCTTTATCATTATATAATAATCATCTTTGTCTGTTTTTGACTATCGTTAATTCGAAGTCTGTTTTATCTAATATGAGAATGATTACTCCTGGTCATTTTTGGTTTCCATTTGCAAGGATTATTTTCCCCCATCCCTTTACCTTGAGTCCTAGAAATCTTTGTGACCTAAGTGAGTCTCTTGAAGACAGCAGAAATTTGAATTGTGTGTGTGTGGGTTTTTTGTTTGTTTGTTTGTTTGTGTTTTTTGGGGGGTTTTTTGAGTTGGAGTCTCACTCTGTCACCCAGACAGGAGTGCAGTGGCCGCTCCCAGCCACCACAGCCTCGACCTGCTGGGCTCTGGCGATCCTTCCTCCTCAGCCTTCCAAGTAGCTGGAACTACAGGCGCACACTACCATGCCCAGCTAATTTTTGATTTATTGTAGAGATGAGGTTTTGTCAAGTTGCCTAGGCGGGTCTCGAACCCGTGGGCTCAGGCAATCCACTCACCTCAGCCTCCCAAAGGCACGGGATTACAGGTGAGGCACCGAGCCCGGCAGATAGCATGTTTTTTAATCCATTCTGCCAGTCTATATCTTTTCAGTGAGGCATTGAGACCATTTACATTTAGAATTAATAATGATATGTAAGGTATTATTCCATTCATCATACTAGTTATCTGGTTGCTTTGGTCATGTATTTATTATCTCTTTTGTGTTTCTTTTTTATAAGGCCTGTGAACTTTTTGGTTTCCAGCATTTTTCTACTGGTGTAGTTTGATCATTTGTTTCAGTATTTAGAACTCCTTTGAGTATTTCTTATAGAGCTGGTCTATTGGTGACAAATTCTCTCAGTGTTTGCTTGTCTGGGAAAGATTTCATTTCTCCTTCATTTGTGAAACTTAGTTTTGTGGGATACCAAAATCCTTGGTTGAGTCTTATTTTGTTTGAGGAGATTGAAGATGGGGCCCCAAACCCTTCTGTAGGGATTATTTTGAGAACTGTACTGTTAGTTTGATAGGCTTATCTTTTGATAGGCTTACCTTACCTTTGTTTGATGTTTTTGACTCACTGCTCTTAAAATTCTTTCCTTCACATTAACTTTGCATACTTGGATGATTCTATGCCTTGGGGATGACTTTTTTGCAATGAATCTTCTACGTGTTCTTTGGGCTTCTAGTATCTGAATGTTTAGATCTCTGACAAGTCCAGGGCAGTTTTTCTCCATTATTTCCTCAAATAGGTTTTCCAAAGATTTGGCCTTCTCTTCTTCCTCAGGAACACCTGTGATTCTTAGGTTTGGATGTTTTACATAATTTCACATTTGTTTGAGACTTTGTTCTGTTCTTTTGATTATTTTTTCTTTATTGTTGTCTGATTGGGTTAATTCAAAAACCTCATCTTCAAGTTCTGAGCTCTTTTCTTCTGCTCTAGTCTACAGTTAAAACTTTTGTACTTCCCTAAAATGCTTCTTTCATTTCCAGAATTTCAGGGTCTTTTGTTGTTGTTGTTGTTTGTGTGTGTCCACCTGTTTGGAGAATTTTTCATTTTTCTGAGTAGTTTTTAAACTTTCTTTATGTTGGTTTAAAATTTTCTCCTGAAGCTCATTGATCATTTGACCATCAATCTTTTACATTTTATATCTGTGATATATTTATATTTAACTTTTTTTTTGAGTAGGAGTCTCACTCTTGTCGCCCAGGCTGGAGTGCAATGGCACACTCACAGCCACCGCAGCCTTCACCTGCTAGGCTTAGGCAATCCTTCCGTGTCAGCCATCCAAGTACGCCACTGTGCCCGGCTAGTTTTTGTGGTATATTGTAGAGATGTAGTCGCCCAGGGCTCAAGAATTCCTCTTGCCTCAGCCTCCCAAAGTACTGGAATCACAGACTGAGCCACCACACCCAGCCTATATTTAACTTCTTAAGAAACTGCCAAACTTTTCCAAAGTGTCTGCACCATTTTACATTTCGGCCAGCAATGTATCAAGATTCTAGTTTCTCTTCATCTTCACTAACACTTGCTATTGTCTGCTTTGCTTAAAGTCATTTTAGTGGGAGTGAGGTATTATCTCATGTGGTTTTAATGTATATTGCTCTAGAGAGTAACGATGGTAATATCTTTTCATGTGCTTAATGACCATTTGTGTATCCTCTTTGGTGAAATGTATATTCATATCTTTTGTCCAATTTTAAATCAGGTTGCTTGTCTTTGTATTAATTATAAGAGTTCTTCATATATCTTGGATATACATCCTTTATCAAATATATGATTTGCAAAAAAAAATTATGTCTGGAATTAAATATTTTGTTTAGAGTTTGTTGCTGAAGATTAGTATGGTCTTTTGGTAGCATTGGAAAACTTTTTTTCATATTGTCAGAATTATTTTCTGATTCCTTCTTATTTGGGAAGACTATTTTTTCTTATTTTAGGTTGGGAAGGGGCTGATGTAGGCACTGTAGGGTTTTCTCGGTTATATATAGCTTTGGTGTGGTGAGTTTCTCTCACTATTGCCAGCTGTGGCAGTCCTATGCTGGAAATAGGTTCATGGCATCCTGGGTGGCCACAGTGACTTGGAAAGTGGTATTAGCTGGGGTTTGGGATCAGACCTTTCCCAAACCTGAGGTATTATATCCAATGTGGTGGACTGTATTGTTGATCGCTGGAGAGGAGGTAGTGCTTGTGGAGACAGCCAGCTGCAATGGTGACTGTGTGCTGTCTCCTTGGCATGTGTTGCTCCAAGGAAATGCCCAGCCAACCTAAGTGGAGGGTGAAGCTCTGGGGATTCTCTGTCTGTTTAGAGCCTTTGAGGGGGGTGCAGGAGCTGGGAGGAAGGAGCTTGAGCACCCCACAAGAGTGCCTTCTCAGCTACTCCAGTGAATATTAGGAGGGTGTCCCATACCACTGGAGTCACGTTGTTGTGCAGGGCAGGCACAGAAGAGTTTATGCAGGAGTGAGGCTGCTATGGCAGGGATCTCACCCAGATTCCCACCTTGGCCTACAGTTTTGCCTTATGTATGTTGAAGTGCTGCTGGCCTCAGGGCCTCAGGTGTTCTCGTGGGAGCTGCCCCAGCCAGGAACTGTCTGCAGCTGCAGAGTTTGCCCTTGGGGTCCATCTCCTCCCAGACCAGCTGGAAAGCAATCACACAAGGGTTGAGTTCCTGGGCAATGGCAGATAGCACTGCTTAAGGCTTTCTTTTTTCCTGCACCACTCTATGTGGCCTTTGGTAGAGAACAACTGTGAGTAAGACAGTTTCCGGTGAGGGACTGGAGTCCTGCAAGGCTCAGGGGGTTCTCCAACTCTGTGGCAGGAGCACAGAACTCCTGAATTCCCCTCATTCACTTTCACCACTTGTCTGGAGACTGCTGGTAGACTGAAGTGGTACAAGTGAGAGTGTGGCTAGTTCTAGCCTAGGTTGATGGATTTAGCTTTTCTTTGCACTCTGTGGTTATCATCACTTCTTTGAAGATTCATGGGGTGTGCTGCTGGTCTTGTTCCTTACTGGGTGCTGCAGAAACTTCCGCTTCTTCGTTTACTCCATAGGAGAAGCTCACTCTAGCTGCCTCATATCTTAATCCAGTCTCTAAAGAAGCTTTATATTTTATTTTGCACTGAGTCCTGCAAATTACATAGTCAAGTTGAGGGTTCTTGAGACTTTCCTTAGGGACTATACACTGAATTTCAATTATAGCTATATTATTTCATGGTATTAATGTGTTTATTTAAAAATTTTAAAGCAAATATTATGATTTAATATGATTGATGGGTAGGTATTATTACATTATTTTACAATTTACCGTGCACTTGCAATATTTCACACAGAAAGCTTCATTTTGTTGAAGTGACATCATGAACAATGACAAGTAATATGTATGAAAAGATGTGGCCATCACAAAGGCAACAAGTGCACATTAGAGAATAAACCCTATACTCTCCTGCTTATTGTCAAGTATCTTACCATGGTGATCTTCTGGGAATGATATTCCAGAGTCAATTTCAGTATGGATGCCGCTTCAGATGCAATTTTATAATCAGGTTCAGAGAGTTTCATCAGTAGGTTCCACACAAAATCAGTCAACAAAGAAGGCAATAAGTTTTGTCTTACTCCCTGCAATCAAAAAGGAGAGTCATGACCTTAGGATTTACCTACACCTAAATCAAAAAACAGCCATACTCAGACATTGTTGGGGGACACTTAGGGGCTAGGCAGGGCCACAAGACTTCTGTGGGTCCTATGCACCTTTGCCATTGTGAGTCTCTTCCTTCATTTTAAATTTTTTTTTTTTTTTTGAGTTGGCGTCTCACTCTGTCGCCCAGACTGGAGCGCAGTGGCCGCTCCCTGCCACTGCAGCCTCGACCCGCTGGGCTCCGGCGATCCTTCCGCCTCAGCCTTCCAAGTAGCCGGAATTACAGGTATGCGCTACCACACCCAGCTGATTTTTTGATTTATTGTAGAGATGACGTCTCACTGCCCAGGCGGGTCTCGAACCCGCGGGCTCAAGCAATCCACTCACCCCAGCCTCCCAAAGGCGTGGGATTACAGGCTGAGCCACCGAGCCCGGCTTAAATTCTTTTTTTTTGAGTTGGAGTCTCACTCGGTCGCCCAGACTGGAGTGCAGTGGCTGCTCCCAGCCACCGCAACCTTGACCTGCTGGGCTCCGGCGATCCTCCCGCCTCAGCCTTCCAAGTAGCTGGAACTATAGGCACATGCTACCACGCCCGGCTAATTTTTTGATTTATTGTAGAGATGAGGTCTTGCCAAGTTGCCCAGGTGGGTCTCGAACCCGCGGGCTCAGGCAATCCACTCACCTCAACCTCCCAAGGCATGGGATTACAGGCTGAGCCACCGAGCCCAGCTAATTATATTTTATAAAAGTATTGGTACAACAATAACTGTAATCCATGTGGTATAATATCTGTTTTCTGATTTTAAAACAATTTAACTGTTCAAAGATTATCATGGAGTTCTTCAGCTTTGGAAATGAGTTTGCTCAGATGAGAAACAAGTGTGGTGCATAAACAACGCAGGAAAAGGTAGAGTGATACAGTCAAGGTGACACAAAGGTGTGGACTTCCTTCTTTCCCAGAAAGGGATATGGAAGCAGGAAGAGATAAAAGACCTATATGTCCATGATCAAGGGGCAATAACTACAGTTCAAACAGACCTTTTTTAAGGTTAGAGGAATATCCATGGATTATAAAATTTTAAGAAAATTATGTTGATTATGAATCTCTCAGTTAAAGAAAGATGAAGGAGCCACATGTTCTCCTTTGCTTTTATATGAAAGAAAAGTTATTTTCCCAAGTACAGAAGGTACTCAATCTCACCAATAAAAGTTTTTCTTCATCCTCTTTGAAAGAATGGAATATTTCTCCTTTTGGTCAATAAGGCAGAACTGAGGTCTGGGTGAGAACAGATGGCCACCAACCCCCTCTCCCGGGTAGATCAGTGAGAGATAATCTTGGAAAGCAACAGAAAAAAAATTGAAGTGGGGGGTAGCCAAAGCTGATGAGGTGGGCTGAATATCATGGAAAGCCATGGAAGAAAAGGGGGTAACTGAGGCAGGTGAGGTGGACTGAATACCATACATGGCTTGCCCTGCTTTAAGAAAGACAGATTTAGTTATATAAGATACCGAATTTTAAAAAATGACTGGAAAGGGGAGTATTCTTTTTTTTTTGAATATTCGTTTATTCAACAAAAATATTTTACTTTAGTAGCTACCTAAAAGTTGTAGAAAAAACAATTCTCAGTGAAACTTAGAGATAATATTAGGAGTTTCCGTCATGTAAACGTGCAGAAATAATTGTAGATTGCATAAAATTGTAAGTTCACTTTTTAAAGTAGGCTCTCTACATAACTCTCCAGAAATATGCCAATCATATCAGATCAGCTGGACTTCTAGAGATCACCTTTAGCTCCACTTGCTCCTTACTATAACACCAAGTGACACCATATTAGTACATGTTGTTGATGCTACTCATCTGAATGACTACATGATACAGTATTAACTTGATACTCCATAACTTGTCATTTATTCCTCTATGTTTGACATATACTTTTTAAAGAGTATGCATCTGTGAATAACTTCTTCTCACAAGTAAATGGCTTGTTTTGAGTTATTTATTTCTATAAATTCCCATGAGTGAGATTACTGGTTTATTTGGTATGAGCATATACAAAGAGGAGACCAAAAAAAAAAACCCAGAATTTATTTATAAAAAATTGTGTATTTATTCTTACATGTTTACATTTTAGTCACCTTCAAAGTACTGTCCACTGCTCAATATAGCTTTTGAGATGCTTTTTTTCACTGCTCAAAACAGTGTTTGAACTAATCAATTCTGATGCCTTTCAGTGCTTCTACTTTTTTTTGTTTCACCTTTTCCACATCAGCAAAATATTTCACTTTGAGGACTTTTTTTTTCATTTGTGGAAACAACAACAACAAAAAAAGCAGCTCGGGTGAGATTAGGTGAATAAGACATGGAGGTCATGCCATTTTTAGTCAAAAACTGCTAAATACACAGCGCAGTGAGTTGACATGATGAGTTGACATGGTGGAAGAACCAGCCACAACTCAGGTTGTTTTTCCACAAATTGTGATAATACCTTCTCAAAATTTCCAGGTAAAAACTTTGGTGATCATTTGATCCAGAGGAACAAATTTCGAGTGTACTACAAAGGATCCAGCCTCCAAAAGATAATTCCGGTGTTTTGGGGCCATCTCTTGTACACACACACACACATGCGCGCGTGTGCGCACACACACACACACACACACACACACACACACTTTCATGGTCATCTGTGGTTTCTTTAAAGGACGATGTCCTCTCTTACAACCAATTGCTATATAAAAGGAGAGGCCATTTGTGTGAATTATTTTCAGTCCAACTCTTCTATGTAGTGGGGTTTTGCTTCCAGCTCCCTTGGCTAGCACCCTTGCTGCTAGTACTCCTATTTTCATCATTGGCTTTGGCTATGGCCCTCTTGGTCTTCTTCATGGAGTCTCTCAACCCACTTTCCATCTAATTCTGGAAGTCCCACCTGTGGGTTGTCCAGCTACTGCTCTTGCACATACTGCTAGCACTGGGTTTGCTTTGGTCTCAACTTTGGAAGCTGAATAATAGGTTGGAAATACAAGGACCCAGGGTACCTCCTGATAGGGCTTACATGGGGGAAGTGATAAAGGGGGCCATTGTTAAAATAACTCACTGTGTGAACCTCACAAAAGGGATGTAAGATTGCAAAGTGGACCTGTGCAGCTGACCACTCTACCCTAACAGCATCCTGTCACTGTGTTTGCTACCTCCATCTGCTCTCTCAAGGTTGTATCCTAAGACTGGGTGATTAACAGCATCTTGTTACTGACTGACACCTGTTTTTTCAAGAATTGCATCTCAAGGCCATATCACCATCGCCCTCACCTGCTTCTTCCAGGCAATGTGACCACCAGCCCCTGCTTCTTCAGAACTATGTGTGCTATATGATCATTGGACCCTGGCTAGAGGTACAAAAGGGATCCACAAAGAACTAAAGGAAGCTGGTTTCTCTTTGAAACCAGTCTCCTCTTTCTCCCCTTTAATAAACTTCTTTGCTTTACCTAACCACTCAGCTCATCCTCTTTTTCTCCGCACTTGCCTTATACCTCCCTCAAACCCAAGGATTTTTAAACCTGATGGACATTAACTCAGATAAGAAAGGACACCAACCTGGGGATGGGGATAGTAAGTCTCATGAACCACTTGGAAGAGGCCCTGAGGAGGCTGCCAAACTCAAGCTCACTAGCCCAGTCATGGCCTCAGAATTTCAATTTCAGAACACTGAGTGGAGGATGGATGAGAAAAGATTTGATAGTTAGCCTCCACAGATGCCTGGCTTCCTTATCTAAATGAATAACTGCAAAGTAGACCAAGCTTGAGACTTTTGAGGAGAGATGGGTAAGAACAATCTTTGATTTTTAAAAAGATGCATATTTAAGATGTCTATGCAGCATTTTTGACCATATCATTTTCTATGCATTGCTTCTGCATCTCCTCAGCCTCTCACAATTCTAACGAACCTCTGTCATAGAAAGACACTGCTTTATATATTAGCTTTAGGAGGAACCTCTAGATCCTTCCACTCCAAGAGATGAACTAGCTTGAAGGGTTTCCCTGGCAGTTGCACTGAACTACTGGCCCAATGAGTGTGACTGGAAGGTGCCAAACAGCCCGACCTGGGCCCCAGTGTTGAGTAATGTCTTAAGCCTCTGTATAAGCCTATGTCCTTGGGTTTATATAAACTACCTGTGTGTTAGGGAGTGTATAGACCTATAGTGTTCCGTGGTTCTCCCAAGGGTTGGGACAGTATAAAAACTGTTTACTTGGTACTGAGGTTTATCATGTAGATGTCTTGATTTTTATTCTTCTTTTAATAGCGCTTTTTATAAAACTAAGTCACAATGCTATTATCATGATTGTGAGAAATTTATAATATCAAAAATCCTGTTAATTGGTGACTTTGCTAATTTTGTTGAATAAGTGAAAGTTCTCAGTGAACTATTTTTTAGCCAAACAAAATGAAGCATAACTAGGAAATACCTACCTCATTTTCATTTTATGAGAATTAAATTAAATAATTAAAATATAAAATGCTCTATTTGGAAATAATAGGAATACCAATTATTAATAGAGATGAACGCCAAATACTATAAGAAGAGGATTGGTAGTAGTGGGAAACTGCCAGGGGAGGGCGGGGGCAGGATTAGCAGTAGTGGGAATCTGCCGGGGTGGGGGGCACACCTCATCAACAAGGGTACGTGCATACTGAACATTTGCATTCCCAACCCTGACTTGTACCCCACATCTTTAAAATAAAAAAAAAGAAAACCAGAAAGCCAAATGCTCTATAATCATTTGTGTTTTACCTCATTGAATTTAAGAAAATGGAAAAACATTTCTTAAAAACAAAAACTTTGTTGAAATAAGTTGCTACTAAGAGTAATGATACATATAAAACAAAAGCCATAGGACAATGTGAGGACTTAGTTACCTGAGCAATTTTACTTTTGTTTCCTTGTATAACCTTAGGTGGAATTTCCACATCAGAAGGAGAAAGCAGGA